AGGAATGCATCCAGTTATCAGCACACAGATAATGTATTTCACAGTATTACTGTTAATGGAATTTCCAATGCTGGCTAGTCTACAGTATGCAATATAGTAATCAAAGAAGTTCTTTAAAATATTAATTATTACGACACTTTTCTGAGGTATCAGGTTACTCATTTCAGACTTCTTGTCTTAAAGACTACATGTGGATCTTTCCTTTTCAGTCCCTTTCTCACCCGAGAGGAGAGAATGAGATGAAGGCCTTAAGCTTACAACATTTAATATTTTCACCAAACCTTACTTTGCACTGAAAGGTGCCTTTTGGGACTTGTTAGTGTTACCCAGATTCTTCTAAAATATGTTACTAAAATAGTTTTCTTTTCTTAAAAAAAAAAAGAATTATTTCTCTTTATACTTAAATACAGAACCAATATTTCATTAATGTTTTTAATCAGAGGTCATTTTGGGATGAAAAAATATTCAATCACTTGGCAAGCTCTAAAGGCAATCTGTTCCTGCAGAAAAGTTAAACTTGACCTCCCTAACTCCTCTGTGAAGACAACATGGACTGCGAGAGCATAATTTGTCCTTACATATGACAATTCAACCTTGGTGCAGCTAGCAGCCTCCAAGCGATGTTGCCAAATTCACAGTTCAGCAGCTACCCCAAGGTTTCTGAGGCCACAGCCATTTAGCACGTGCCCTTTGCTCCTGGCGAAGCACAGCCTACACAATTGCATGGCTCAGAGTGAATGAATCCAAGGAAATTTCTTTACAAACTGATATTTAAAGGCAGAGCTACTCTACCTTTGCCTGGCAGAGCTTAGGGTCTGCAGATAATTGAGGGGAACACAAGATAATGGAGAAAAACAAGTTGCGATTCACAAGGTGAAAGTTACCCAGGCAAAGTTTTAGGAGGGTTGAAAACCATTTGGTGTATGAAACCATTAACACATCTTCAATGTGAGATTTTAAGGATACAAGTTATTTTTATACAATAGCTCATTTTCAACATGGGATTTAGACATGATGATTGCAGCATCATTTTTTTTCTTGCGCTATGTCTGTCTCACTTGATTTTGGTGGATAACCACGGGGGAGAAAAGCAAATAAGCTTCTACAAGGATATTTTGTACTTGAGAAGGGAAAAGCTCCAAGATGATGCAACGCTGCAGCCATATTTCCTGGGGCAGGAATAAATGGAAATGGTAAGATGTGAGGAGCTCTGGCAGGGGAATCCAGCCTGCTTTTGGAATCGCTCCAGGCAAACTAGAAATTCAGCAAAAGCATATGCATCATAGAAATGAAGAAAATTGGAGGTATCAGCTAAACTGGATCAAATTAAAAGACTTCAGGGTTTAGCTGATCAGCTCATCACATTTGCCAAATTGGGCAAGACTTGCCAGTAGCTGCTGTGGCAGTCCAGAGCACAAGCTCTGTGAAGATCCTCTCCATGCTTGGTTACAAAGCTCAGACTGAAGTACACAAAACTAGAGACCATTGCTCTATTACAGAACATGGCAGTAGAATAACCTCTTATTTTGGACCAGAAGTTCTTTGCAGAGGCATTAAAGATAAAGATATAATGTTATCCACTGATTCTTGAAGTTTCACAAAATAAAAAAATCCCAACAAGGAAAGCCAGTGAAAATTCTCTCTCCAGGTATGCACTTAAACACACTTGGGAACATTTTTAACTCTTAGTATCAAACAGTAATTAATGTGCTTGCATTATCAAATAAATAAGCATGAGGTTATTTCCTAATTAGATCTCCAGTCTTCATATCTGACATAGTTTACCTTACAGCTGTGAATTAGCAGAAAGGTAGATATTTGATGCTAAATTTGTTTGGTTGCTTCCACTAAAATTTCAAAGAGCATCTAGATGACTTCAGTAAGTTCTACACTGCTAACAGTAAATGCTCAAATTTCTTTAAAGGTTTCCTTTTTCATGTCCAGAAAATGTTACTGAAGTAACATGATGGATGCTAACTGGGGAATTTGTGCAGTTCAGAGGCACTCATAGCCTCTGCAGTTCATCAATTGAGCCCTTTGCAGGTCCTTTGGGGGCCAGTTTTCTACTCTACATCATGTAGGTGTTGTAAAAACACCTTTTGCTTGAAAAATAGCTCCCAGTCATGACAGTCAACAGCTAGATTCATTAATCATCTGGTATTAACACATAACTGTAAATGAGACTTCAGTAGCAATGCACATTAATCACATTTACCGCTCTTAACGCCTGTGCTCACTTATAGGCACCAAAGAAATTGGGGCAAGCTTCGGCCTGCACACCAGATGTGCCTTGGGGAGCCCTGCTTGCAGCACACCTAGGACATGTAGCATCTCAGGGGACATGACTTTGTGCACGTAGATTGAGTGGGACAGCAAACTGCCCAGCTTTCTCCTACATAAATTCCACATGCATCCAGAAATGGAGGGCTACATAACCGGTATCTTTACATATCTGTTCTGGCAGCACGGCATAAGTTTGTGGAACAGAGAACGTGGTGCTTGGTGCTGTCTTGCCTTTAACCTGTCCTCTAGTCTTAGAGCAGCACATCAGACTGCTCAGATTTGGGAAGTGATCTAGAAGGCTTCTCTGTGGGAAAATATCACAGAATCACAGAATATTAGGAATTGGAAGGGACCTCGAAAGATCATCCAGTCCAACCCCCCTGGCAGAGCAGGATCACCTAGACTAGGTTGCACAGGAATGCGTCCAGGCGGGTTTTGAATGTCTCCAGAGAAGGAGACTCCACAACCTCTCTGGGCAGCCTGTTCCAGTGCTCCGTAACCCTTACAGTAAAAAAGTTTTTCCTCAGTTGTTCAGATTGAACCTCTTATGCTCCAGCTTGCTCCCATTGCCCCTTGTCCTGTCTTTGGCTATCACTATATCCTCCTCTCCTAGTTTGGTGGCTCAATTACTAACTAACCCACCAGACAAAAGTTGTACTTATTTTCAAGTTAGACCAAAAACTACCTCACTGGGTATGTAAGAGCAGGGAAGGCCTTGATTTTTTGCTGTTCTTGTTGAATATCCTTTATGTCATTTTCTTACAAACCAACCCCCTCATCTTGACAGGCAAAACTCTGACAGCATCTGAAACTAGTGGAGAAGAGCAAGGTGTATTTGCCAATAAACCACTGTAATAATGAAAAAACTGAGGGTTTCAATCAGCTTTTGGAAATGACCAATAACTTGTATGCTGCTCCAAGTACTCATGCAGTTGTTTAGATGTCTAAAAAGTTTTGTTTATGAAGAACAAGCACTGCTTTAAGAAATCTAGCTTTCCATAAACAGCAGTAACAATGTCCTAGTAGGCTGACAACATGAATTCATATTGTCTAGAAAAGTAAATGGCACAAATAACTTACCTTTGTAGAGTCTCTGCAGGGTTTGCATTTTATTACTCCAGTGGTTTTAAAAAAATATAAACTAAAGGTAAAACACACACAGAGAAAATACAATTTTCACAATCAGAGATCAGGAGACAAAAGAGAAGAGCCAAAAAACCACACTAGAGTAAATCAATTGTTCATTAGCTCAAAAAGACACAACACTGCACTCTCCATACAAAGCTGCCCAACCAGGACGCCAGGCAGGGTAAGCTTTTGGAGGAGATACATAAGAAACAGTGCAAGGATACAACAGAAAGCAACCTGCATGTCAGAGTGAAATGCCATCATTTGGCCAAACTAGCTGGAAGCAGCCCAGCTCTCTCCAAAATGAGATGAGAAGCATGGACAGTGACAGCCAGCTCCACACTGACAAGCAGCTGGAAGAGAACCACAGGAGGTAAAACCTTCTTGGCAAATATGAAGGAAGGGATCTGGACCCAAGAGTACCTGATATTATCAGCTCTATGCCTTGGTAGTTCTGAACTGCTGAGTCACACGTGGCAAATTACATTTATTCAGCTGTTATGCTAGACAAACTGTCAATTTTCATTAAATTTACTACGTGCTTCTACGTGCCTGCCTGCTACCTTCCCAAATGGGATTAGCAAGATACATTAAAAATGAAGCAAGTATCAAATGCGAATTGAATCCATATTCTAAAATATTAATGGCCAGATAACAGTACTGTGAATACAGATAGAAACATCATATTTGATGTGTGGTACACATTCATGAAAACGGCACATTTCATAGGGTAAGCTGCCTCTCAGAGGCAAATTAAAAAAATATTTGAATGGAATCCTTTCACTGTCAGGATGTTTAAAAGAAAAAAAAAGTCATTCAAGTACTTTTCAAAATTGTGTAAAATGTGTCAGACACAAGATCTATTTCAATTGGACACTACATCCTATGTAACGGTATTTTTAAACAACTTGTGCCTTCCCTTTCAGGCATTCATTTTTAAAGCAGCATTTAGTTTCAAATTAAAAGCATCTAATGCTGAAATGATGGATGTAAGCATCTT